GTGCTCATCAGTAATAGGAGCTAATATCCAAGTATAGGATTGATGTTTCCGGAATAAATTCCAATAACTAAGAAGTACTATTCTTAAAAGAGTGCTCAATACAGAGTAGAGCAAATATAATTATGTATTCGAAAATTATAACATAACTATATTATAAAATCAATATATGAACAGACTGAGATATACACATACATATAGATAGAAATAGATAGACATACAGATAAATAGACAGATATGAACATAGATAGATAGATAGATAGATAGATAGATAGATAGATAGATAGATAGATAGATAGATAGATAGATAGATAGATAGATTGGAACAGACTGGCTATGTCACTAAAGAATACTTGCATGAAACCGTGGTATGGTTTTCAGGGACTTTCCAATTTCCCTTTCACTTGGATCGTTTTTCCTTGCTGATATATTCAAGAAATCATGTCTTTGACAAATTGACTATAGTCACGTTCAAACCTGTGCCTTCTGGTTGGAATACCAACATTCTAACAACTAGGCTATGCGCTCATAAATTTGTGGGTCGTAGGCGATCATGGCTCTCCACAATGTTTGGATCTTTCTCACGATACATTCTCAGATGTTAAATGTGTCGATCTTCAGGCAAGAGTGACTTCTATCCAATGCTTGAGAGCACTTGCTATTTAGCTAGCTGAGGAGATAGATGTATGTTCTTCCCACCGGCATTATAACGAAAGTCAACGTAATGAACGAGGCTGGATCTGGAACTCAGTTCTACTTTCCACGTCTAAAGTTACGCTATCTACATTTTGCGATGTGATCACTAGAACAGCTGAATCATTCAAGTTTTATTACTCCAACAACTAGCATAGTGGATGAATAAAGCAGTTATAAATTCAATGTCCGTATTCAGAAGGCAAAGATACATCAGAATACATACGACAGATCTTTGCGGTTATTTCAATTGCAATGAATAATCAGAAACGGAAAGTTTATTTGTAGTTTATTTGTAGTTCATAAGAAATCATTATATTTTCCTGAGGATTATTTCTATGTTTCGGTATTTTTTGATGGGAGGCCAAATATTTTTCTTCTTCTTTTCCAAGACAAATCTATATTACTTGGCATATTCTTTATTCTAAATGCCGCTAGTGGCCACCAGAACGTGCCCCTATTAGAGGAATTTGGCAAAAAACCATTATTTGAAAGTTTACAAAGAAAGAAAGTAAAAAAAAAAAGAGGAAAGTATTTCAGAGGTTAAGTAATATAAAGCCAAACGGCGATGAGAGAAAGAATTAGTTTAAAGGTGAAAGAAAAAAGAAAGACGACAACAATGGAGTGAAAAAAAAGATAGAGAAAAGGACATACGCACGCACAAACACGCCCCTCGCACACACACACACACACACACTCACACACACACAAACACATATATATATATGTATATATATATATATATATATATATATATATATATATGCAAGAGGATGCAAGAATATTCTCAGCCATTAAATGATTTTATGAAATGGATAAAGGCCAATAAATTTTCAGCACCTCATATATATATATATATATATATATATATATATATATATATATGTGTGTGTGTGTGTATGTGTGTGTGTGTGTGTGTGTATGAAAGATTTAAAACCGTTGAAGCTATTATTATATTAAATAAAATAAAAGCTCTCATTAAATACAATATTATTCACTACAGGAAACGGTATCCTGATATGTATAATTAATATATATATATATATATATATATATATATATATATATATATATATATATATATATATATATATATATATATATATATATATATATATATATATATATATATATATATATATATATATATATATATAATATATGAAAAAACCCTTGAAGCTATTTTTATATTAAATAAAATAAAAAGCTCTCATTAAATACAATATTATTCGCTAAAAAAAATATGATGTGTATAATTAATTGTATATATATATATATATATATATATATATATATATATATATATATATATATATGAGGAACATTGAAGTCAACACTCAGAAGCGACAGGCTGTTTTATGTTGGACGCAATCGTCAGGCCTGACGATTGCGTTCAGCATGAAACAGTTCACTTTTTATGTTTATATTTACATACGCTCTATCTCTGATATTGAGCACTATATCATAAATATAGCACACCTTAAAGCTATAATTCGTCATATGTATATATATATATATATATATATATATATATATATATATATATATATATATATATATATATATGTGTGTGTGTGTGTGTGTGTGTGTGTGTGTGTGTGTGTGTGTGTGGGTGTTGCAATAACTTGGACCGATTTTAAATGTGTATTAATCTTTGATGGTTAAAGATTTTTTTTCTTTCTGATTAAACAACATAATTCATTGGCAATTTCAACCATGGAAAGGTTAACAATCAAACAACGTGTTAAAGTTATCGAAGCCTATTACGAAAATGCACCACATCTTATTCGAAAATTAGAAAAATACAATAAATTTTTAGTTTTGAAATTTATGAGCCGCATAATGAGGAAAGTAGGCTTGAAAAATTGACACTCACAGGATATGTTGTTTGCAAGAGGAGCAAGAGTTAAAGTTGTTGAGTGTTATAATCACCCAGTCCGTGAATTGCCGCTGCATATAGAAGTAGAATGAGAAGATGTAGAATTCTCTGGGCTACTTGTTCGGATTAAACCTTCATTTTTCGAAAGGATATCCATATGTAAAGTCACACTCTTCGTTCCGACATTTCACAATCCTTTAATGGCAAAAGGTCTTCATTTTGTGATAAAAACCGACTTTGTAGGGTGACTGATGATTCTTTTTTGTTTTTACCCTATGATCCGTGACATTTCACGTTATTAACATTATTAATTGTGGATCAGAATTTATTTAATAAATAGAATATTTAATTATATTTTATTATGTAGAATGGGATTAGTTCAAACTGAAAGCTCCTGATGCCATTATGATAAAACCGAACGAATCTTCTGGCCAATTCAATAAATAATAGAAAATAGTAAAATATGAAGATTATCAGTTTATGGTGAAGTGTTTTTGTTCGATTTCCCAAAGTCTCTCTTGAAAAATGAAGGAATCAATTTCTTTTAAATTCCCACCAGTCGCTACCTTTTCTGGGGAATCTTCATTCGTCTGGAAAATGAAATTTTTTCACAATTCGCTTTCACGTCTTTCATTTACCTTTGACATTTTCTTATTTCATATTAATGAGAACAGCATTCTCTAACAAGTCCATAAACCATGCCCAATAAAAACCTATATAGGTCAGTTATGTGCCATTCGTGAAACAATCTTAAGCGATCATGCATCTTTCGATACATGACTGACAAGGCAGATTTTTTCCCACAGTAGGTTGCCATTTCTTTCTGCGGTAGACCAGTTGCCATCCAAGGCTATTGAACACGGTCTGTCCTGCTATTTTCCCATAGCTGGTGGGACAAGAAGAGGATATATGCATTTCCCAAGGGCATTAGAATATAAGTGAATGTAATAGATCCGAGCCGCTATCCACTACTCCACCTATATAGGTACTTAGTAAATTTAGTTTGGTCCAAGGACATAATCGAATGACCTTAGGAAGGACTGAAATCGTTATACATTATAGAGATCTATGAAGCTTAATTCATTTATTCTAAGGTAACGCAACGAAAGCAAATTAAAAAAATTAGCATAGAAAGAAAGTATATAACAGAGAATGGAACATATGCCCCCGACGTCCAAAAGCGCATTTGAATAGCGAATTATGATTTATAAAAGCTAAGCAATGTATTAAGAAACAAGAACATTTTTTTTTAGAAGCAAAGAAAAGACTGCTAAACAATTGTGTAATATCAATCCTCTTATATTGACAAGAATGCTGTATAATTTTCTCACTGGTGAAGACGAGACTTAAGCCAACACAGATCTGGATCTACATAAGGATGATAGGAATGCCATGGTCGGAGCATGTGAGCCAAGAGGAAGCCTAGAATCAAACGGAAACAAAAAGACAACTTTAATTGAAATAAAAATAAACCATTTCTGGGACACATTTTGAAGAAAGTTGGCTTGGAGAATTTAACACTCACAAGAAATATTGAAAGTGAATGCAGCCGAGGGTAACACCGAGTAGCCTACCTAATGAGCTTGTGTAGAAGGATGGCAGTACATGGCCTGGAAGGCATATTTACGAGACAGGCATGGCTTGGAGTTACAAAAGTTAGGAAGTTGTAGAGTGTTATGATAACCTATGCCCTGAAACGACACGTCGAATGGAAGAAGAAAATGAATATGCTATCTTATTGTAAATGTACTTTTCAGCAAATTCAACCTATTTAACGAAAGGAAGTATTTCAAAACCAAGTCAGACGATTTTCCCTTCTTTTCTTGCAATGCAACACAAAAGAAGGAAAAATCTCTTGCAATTCACATCCGAGTATTTCAAAGATGTTCTCTGTATTTCCAACCCTTCTTTTTATATTTGATATTTTCCCCACAGTCATAATCGCATTTTAGTTTTTTTTTCCAGAAAAGCAAAGGTTAAATCAGATATGTAATGCATAAAAAGCAAAAAAAACCCCAAAACAAAAAAAAAAAACTTAAATTTAAACAACGAGAAAATGGAAAAGATAAAACAATATTTCGCATTATTTATAATTAGTACGTGTCCCATTGAATCTAGAAATGAAATAAAAATGACGCATGACTTAGTTAAGTAATGGTCCATATATTGTATTTTTCAAGACATGTGTTTTGCCAAAAATAAGTATATTGGAAGATAATTATCGAAAACAATAATATATATATATATATATATATATATATATATATATATATATATATATATATATATATATACAAGTATAGGATTGTGTATACGGAATAAATTCCAATATCCCAAAATACTATTCTTAAAAGAGTGCTCAATACAGAGTCAAGCAAATATAATCATTTATTCAAAAATTATAACATAATTGTGTTATAAAATCACTAAAAAAATAGACATTTTGTTTCATTCAACACCATTACTTGATATAACACCAGAGGTCTTGAAACAAAATGGCTATTTTTGTAGTGATTTTATATTTTATGTTATAATTTTCGAATAAATGAATATATATATATATATATATATATATATATATATATATATATATATATATATATATATATATATTTAAAAGCAAAATACTAACTCTTTTTTAAAAAAAGAAAAAAGGGGTTTATATGTTTTGTGGGCTTTAATCTGATCAACCAATGAAATATGACCTACGCTAAATTTTAACTAAGCGAAAAAAGCAAAAAATAAAGAAATTATTTTTTATAAATGGGTCATGACACGTAGATTGGC